TTGTAGGATTAAGACTGCCAGGATGATAATCAAACACGTTTCTGTGTTGTAAGCTGCTCAGGTGAGCCAAAAACCATGTTCCCAATGTTTCAGTGGGCCGCAGGAGTGGAAAGGCTGGCGGAGACTGGTGTAGAGTATAATTTTGAGGTATCTTTTGGGTTCTAAAACCATTTTTCTGATTTTTTACATTAATCCTATTCAACTGTCATTTAAGCCCCCCCCCCCCCCCCCCCCCCCCCTCTTCCCTTCCCCAATGAAGATAGGGACATATTAATAAAATTTATGTTATAACATGTCTTTACCTCGCCCTGTAGAAGCTTGTGTGGTCTGAAACAGAAATGATATAATTTATACTGAAAGTGAAACAATAAATAAACTCTTTTAAGTTCCAAACAAAACACGACTTGTTACTGCCTATTCCCCACATTAAGAAAATGGAAATGGGCAGCCGAAATTTAACTTTAAAAAAAAAACATGCACAAAAAAAAAAGGTTAAACGTGCGGCTAATACAAACATTCTACTTGATAATTTTGAGAAAAGCTGACAAAAACAGTGATCAGTAAGAAACCAAATAAAAGGAACAGCATAACAAAATTAAAAATAATGTTAACCTTTTACACTGAAAATGGCAGCAGTGATGGCACAGTGCCAGGCAGGCTTGCTTGGAGGTAAAATAGCACCCATTTTTCTTAGATTTGTTACAACTAATATGTTTTACAGTAGTTAAAAATGTGCACATTCCAGTGCTTGTATTGATTATTTTGATGCTATTGCTAACTTTTAATATTACTTGATGTGTGAATGAAATGATATAAGAATGGAGGGAGACCTCGAAGGACAGAATGTTAGACGGGCCTGTGAGCCCAATTCTTAACCCTTTAAAAATAAAGTTTGTTCGTTCTTTCTTCTTCTTAGCATTCACTGGCTGTAAACACTGGCAGAAAGTTCTTTGGTTGTTCATCCACGTCTGGACTTTTGGTCTTGTTCCAGAGCGTTAGTATCGTGTGCACATCTACTTAACACAGCTAGCTTATCTTTCTGCAGACAGCTGGTTCTTTGACTTTCAGGTAGACGCACCTCGACTTTGGAGGAAATTTCCCTAATTAGTTGCCTTGTGTGACATGCTTGTTACGTAGGCAGTGAGTCTAATCCCCCCCCCCCCCCCCCCCCCCCCCCCACACCTAATGAGGGCCTGGAACCCACTCAGAGATCAGCATGACTGTTTATTACTCTACAATGCAGGAATATTTTTTATACTGATTTAGGCTCCTAGAATAAAACTGGTGCCTGAAATTGGTATGAAATAAAATGTGTTGAAGTGTGATAAGACATGCATCACGCACTATTCTGTAGCATTTACTTTACAGAACAACACTCTCATCACAGTCTGCCTTACACATTTCATACCCAGGTTATGACTTACATCTTACAGTGTAAAGTCATCAACTTTTCGTAAACAATTTTTCTTCTCACTGCTTACGCAATGTTTAAACTGACATACTTTTTAAGTTAAAAATCTGGATCAAACCTATTCATATCTTTCAAATTTTTGTTTCGTCTACCTTTTCTTATAATTTCAGTAAAATAATATTACCCTCTGTGGGTTTTCTTACCGACTGGTACTCCTCGTCAATTGTCGGACAAACTGGTCTAAAAGTGATTTCTCCACTGTCTTCATTCTCCTCCTCCACCTCCTCTAGAAAAAATAAAAGTAAATACCATTGACACACTGCATTACTGATGCATACTTAGTTCAGATATACTACCAGCAGTAGTAACATCGTGTTTACTGCACTAGCCTGCCAAGACAGTAGTCTAGGTTCAATCCCCCAGCAGTGGCATGTATGGCTCCATGCATAAAATGAATTATTATAAATACTGTATAATAAAATATAAAGTAATCGTAAATATAAAAGTAATGGACCCTCTTCTATGCATTAAGGTGCATTGGATTTATAATCTTCTTCTTCTTTTTTGTTGTGTTCACCGGCTGTAAACTCCGGTGGAAAAGCTCTAGTTGTCTACAGGCCACTTCTAAACTTTGGTCTTTTCCAGAAATTGAATTTTGCTTACACATCAGTTTTATATATCTGACTTGTTTATATGCAGACTATTAGTTCCCTGCCCTACAGGCAGATGCACTCCATCTTGGAAGGATACAGCAGTATTTTATTTTATTTTGTTGATACACCCCTAATTAGTCTTTTAAGGCACGTTGGTGGGGGCAGCGGGTCTATTCTTTTTTCCCTCCATATAGGACCCAAGAACATACACGGGGATAATATATATGCTAGTCCTATATTTTACTTAAAGGGTGGTGATGTCAATAATATGCCAATTACGTTTAATTCCCAGAAGACTTTGTGGTACTCATTTTAGACTGAGCTGACCTGGAAGCTCTTGTCACTTTTACAGAATCCTCAGCTCATTATGGATTCAAACACATGGCTACTGGGCCAGCAAGTAAGAGTCCGCTAACGTGACTCCTGTCTTCTGAATATGTTGATTCATATCTTCTAAGCTCTATTAGAATTTCCTATCCACTTGTGTGGAGAAATGAAAATCTGAAACCAACCAACCTTTATCATCCATGCAAGGGGAGTCAGGTATGATCATGGGGACACTTCCAAAAGCATCTGGAGTTGGTTCCACTTCATCACTTCAACAGGATAAAAGGGACATTCCAAGCATTATTTAATTAAAGGAACTAAAATGCAGCAGTAATTTACACTGTATATAAAGTTAAGTTACTAAATTTATTAAAAAAAACAAGTTAGAAAAGTGCTTCAATTTTATATATTATCCATTTGTCCTTAACTCTGACTTCAGCTTTTAAACAGTTGAGTAATTTTATGTAGTTTTTATGTCATTGTACAACTGTCTGCAATATTGTATGCTGATAAAAAATGTAGTCAAAATGTTCATTCTTTCACCCATAATTCTGTTTGTTTTTTAAGTGGGGGGAACTGATCAGGCAGCAACAACTGGTAACCCAACAACATGCTGTGTTAAGGGACTACGATGACGAAGTGAGAGAAAAGTAAAAAAAACACATGCAGGCTATCGGGGAACCATTTACAGCAGTAGTGAAAATATACACAGACAGATTGATTGTTCTGGGTATATAAAAAGTTAGAACACGCTCAATCCTCCAGGGAACAATTCAGGGCACACAGAGAAGACACATCAGCTCTAAATGCAATTTACTCTAAAAAAGCATTCCTCTCTGAAAAAAGCCTAATAATTGTTCTTGCCTTTCATCTCCTAAGGCAGAAGAGATACTCTATCAAATTACCCACATGTCAAGCTTTTTATAGGTTTGTTAAATCAACTAGATTTTGTAGTTAAAGCTAAGAAATTAGGTATATGGCCTCATGCCAACCTTCCTTAGTGGCCTTTTATTATATCTATGGTAAGTTAGTATTACTATTCTTTGCATCTCTTATATGCACTGGTAACACTGGCACTTTAATCAACTACTTCTTTTACAATATAAAATTAACAGTAAACAACAAAGAAACGATTAATTACAATCTTGTACATCTTTTCTTCTTCTTCTTTAGCATTTTGAGCCCTTGAGGCCTCCACTCACCTCTCTGGTTGCCCTCTCTTTCCAGTTGGTGACACCAAGTGTTTGCAGGTCTGTCTGGATATTATCTCTCCATCATCTTCTTGGTCTGCCTTGAGATCGCCTTGGGTATACAGTTTTTACCTCTCTGTTATCTGACATTCTCTCAATATGCCCCAGCCATTTCAGTATATTAGCTCTCATGATGCCAGTGATCAATGGTGATTTAAACAGATCATGAATTTTGTTGTTGCTTCTCACTCTCCATTCCCCGCTGTTTGCATCTTTGATGGGTCCAAAAATTTGTCATAAGACTCCATTTTCAAAAATCTGTATTAGGATTCATCTCTTTTTATTGTTGCTCCAAGTTTTAAAGCCACATAAAATGACTGGTCTTGTCAATATTTTATATATTTTGATCTTGTTGTTGCCAAACAGAGACTCTGACTTACATAATGTGAAGTCCAGGGAAGTAAATGTGGCTGGCATGATGACAATACCATCACCACTCGAGTGCTGGTTGGTCTTTAAAATATTAGTCTAGCATCATATGCCCAATGGACTACTGGCATTAAAAAAAGGGTCCTTCGCTTACTTACTTATTAACTCATATAGCACATTTATTCTGCTATTGATAACCCCAAAATTCACTCATTCATTCATTGTCCTATTAACCTTCGTATGTTATACAGGCCATAAACCGAGGGTTTCTTAGAAAAAGAGAAATTGGGAAGAGGATGAAAATGGCTGTTTACCGTTCTACCTATGTACCAGTCCTGACCTATGGGTGTGAGTCATACTCAATGACAAGAGCTCACAGAAGCCAGCTTCAGGCCTCAGAAATGAGATACCTGAGAAAGGTGGTCCAAGTGACAAGAAGGAACAAATTCTGAAATCAGTCAAGATCCTGATACCCAGTCCTTACAAACCTGAGTGTATCAGTCACTGTTACAATGGTTTTGACATGTATGCAGAATAGGAGCAAAACTGCCACCATGGCAAGCATAGGAGGCTAAGAACCAGGGAACCAGACCTCCAAGGCAACCAGGGTCTGCTGAGAAGACAACATCCGACAGACCCTAACTGACAGAGGACTGGAATGGAACAAAGCCAGAAAGAAAATCGCTGATAGAGAAGTCTGGTGATCTCTCTGGCAAATCTCTACACACCAAGGTAGAAAAGGTGCAACTAAGTAAGTAAGTAAGTTACATAGGGCTTGCAGTTTATTTCTCCATTCCGCTCTATCCTGTGTAATCACATTGATATCATGGATGGAATTCAGTCCAGCAACGTTAGCTTCTCTCACCAATGTTTCTTTTGGGTATTACCAATATTAAAGTAAGTATAAACAAATTTATTTAGGCAAATCATATTTACAATAACTAAACTCTAGCCAATTACTTTAGTACATTAATGTCATCAACTTACTAACTATCCACTGTTTCTGGAACCAATATATGCTCCTCCTGAGAACTGTAAACTTCTTATTTTTTCAGAAGGGGTAGATAGAAGTGGCTGCTCAGCTGAGTGTTTCTCTGTAGTTTATAAAACAAGTATACATGATATAGCTTGACAATATACAGAAAATATTCAGTTATTAATTTTACCAGAAGCAAAAGTCTGGTAAATTTAAAAAGCATGTCAAATGCCTCTTTCAGGGTAGTTTTCAACACAATTATACCCTATAGTTTGAACATTTTGAGGTGCTTCAATTCAGTAAGTTTTTTTTACCTGAAAAGTAATTGGGGCAGATTTCTTCTTCTTCTTAATTCACTAGCTGTAAACTCTGGCAGAAAAGTTTTGGTTGTTCATCCACTTCTGGACAGATTATTGATTCCTTGCCTCTTAAACAGATGCAATCTGAAGTCAGCTTTGACTGACTGACTGACTGACTTTCTACCCCACCAGGACATCACACAAGCAATAAACACCCGATGACACAATGTGCCACCATGAGGGTGAGGATCACCGTGGAGAGGTCCCAGAAACTGCGTTCAGCCACTAGGTCATTTTTATGGCCAGGCTATATTGCGTCCCCTGGCAAAAGCTAGAGTAGGGCTTCGAATATGGAAATATTTCATCCTAAAAAGGACGGGAACTGTGTATAGTCAGCTTTGAAGGAAACACCTCTAATTATTTGCCTTTTACAACACACCTGGTAGCGGGACAGGGTTCTATATTCCCTCCCCTACCCCATCCCTCCAACAATGGGGCCTCGCACGAAAATATACTAATACTAGCTGTACCCGGCCACACGTTGCTGTGGCCCAGTCTGGCTAACTGGAAAAGAAAGAAAATAGAAAGTGCACGTGTCTAATATGGTTAATTTCACAATCATTGTCTGCGCCAATAGTCTAGTTTGCCGACTCTAGAAGATGCAACATATAACTGTGTTATTATATTAGTGGTCGTTTAAAGTGTATTTTTATGACTTTTTTTTTACGGTTATTTGTTTATCACATGCTAAAGCTTTTTATATTTCTGGTGCTTTATTAATATCCTACCCCAAACAGAGGAAATCCACAGGTCACAGGACAGCCATATATTTTAGGGGGTGGTAGATAGGCTGCATGCAGTCGTGGGACTTAGGCTACATGCAGTTGTGAGACCTAGGCTGCACTCTCTCGTGGGTTGGGGTTAGGGCCAGTTCTAGATGTTTTGGGGTCGAAAGCATCAAAAAGCCGGAAAACCCAGTCTTACCACCCTCTAAAATGTTGGACTGTCCTGTGACGTTATCTGGTGTATTAATAAAGCACCGCATTTCTTAAAAAGCTCAAAGTAAAGTTTACTATAGTATGTCTAAAAAAAAAGGTTTGCCCCCAAAAAAATGAGAATGAAGAATATCTAGTGCAACAAATCCTTCTTTTTGGACGTCTGAAAGAGAATACTAAAATGTTATTCAGAACCTATATTTCTGTATGGTAGTGAATCATGGAATGTTAATGCACAAATTAGAAAGAACTTGGAGCGAGGGAGATGTGGTTTCTCAAAAGAATATAAAGAATACCTTCAACTGCCAGAGTAACCAACCAGAATTGATTGGAAAAAAGCTAATGTAAAAAAATATTTATACATACACAGCTAAAAGAAAAGGGAGAGGCAGATCAAGAAAGATGACGGATGGGTTGCGACAGTCGCATGGAGGGATGTCATCGGTGGAACTGATCCAGAGGCTAAGGGAGAGAGATCTATGGTGATGTATGAATGCCTATACCAGTTGGCAATATATATATAAATAACTTTAACTGCACTAATAGATTATGACCAAACATGTAAGCTTCTAGCAGGTTACATATATTTGTAAAATGTAACTTTATTAAAAAACCAAAAGTCAACATGATCTTTAAAAAGAATTAAAATAATTACCTAAGGCCAAAAGAGTTAAAATAATGATCTCAAAGTGAGTTAAAGTAATGACCTCCTACAAGAACAGTTCAAGTAATGACCTAAACAAATTGTGACAATAGGCTCGGTGACTTCAGAATGTCTTTCCTCAACCTACTTTTATTTCTATGTATTTTAAAGTATACAGAATTAAATGGATTTGGATACATCCTTAATCTAAGTAGGCGACCTAAACAAACATTTAATTCTGCTGGACGGCTGGTGATATCTAACACTGAGACTCTTTCCCAGATGTTAAGTGTTAAGGTAGTCTTTGTGACGCCAGGGAGACTGACTAGCTCAGACTCACTGGCTGCAGATTTCACTTGCCAAAACTTAGGTGTCAGATAATTATCTTCTAGCCAGAACTTTAGGAGCAGATAACTCAGGCTAATTGCCATTATCTCCCCCTGAGGTTACCTAGCTTTAGTGCAGGCTGGATCGCCAATATTGACATGTCAGCCGAAAGTATTAACAGAAGATTGACACATCGGATAAAGGTGACGGCAGGTTAAAGAAGGGATGGGAGGTGTGACGTTGTGTATTAGCTTTGACCAGCTTGATTGAACCTGGAGAATGTGACCGTGGGAATTCAAACAAGTGTTGTACAGTCTTGACTGACAGTTAATAGACTTACCCACGGGGAGGAGCTGTGACATCCTTGAATTAGAGTGGTTTTAGGAGTAACGAAGGAGGAGCTTAATAAAAGTTTTAAAAGGGCGCACTTTAGGACTGGTAAATGAGACTCTGCCTTTTGCTGCCATCTGTTGGGCTTAAACCTGAGACAGAACTTTTGGCATTGTGTTTTCATTTCTAGGTAAGAAGCGAAATTAGTTTTAAGATTTTTATTTCCTGATAGAAATCTGTCTTTTTTGCTCAAGTGTGTGTCTTCATCACTTTGTAGTACTCCTTAGCGGAAATTTCTCCGTTCTTGTAGGGCACTGTCACATTGCTTTATATTGTAATTGATATTGTCATGAATGTTTTTGTGCACATGTGTTTCAATGTTGTAAAACCTAAATGTTGATGTTACCATTTAAATTTAATGAACTATCATGTTTTTTAAATCACGAGCGTGAAGATAACTTTGGCAATCTTGTCACGTGTGGTTAATGTGAATCTGAAATGTGTTTAACTACCGGAAGGCTAATGCGGAGATCGATCCCGGAAAGTAAATTCTTGAGATTTATTTTTTGATTCGCCCAGAAATATTGTTAGCATTCTGGGCGCGTCCATTGTTCCAAGCCTTGATTCCAGAACTTGTTCTGTTAATTGTCATTTTGAGTCAGTACGAGAGATGAGATCAGACATAGAGACTTGACTATCATTACAGGACGTGAGTAGAGGAAGGCAGTAAATGTAACGGCTTCAATGTGAAACATAAGCCCTTCCAAACTGGACAGGAGTGAATGTGAAAATGAGGGAGAGATTAAATGTTTTATTTAAATAAACATGTTTGATGGTATTATAAAATACATGCTTAGTGTACATCTAGATAAGATACTACACATATGCGCTTGTTTCTTTATTACAGTTCCCACATTGGGCAGGGACTAGTAGGCATCCATTCTTTGCCGACCGTCTGAGTGTAATGACCTGCTTGAAAGCAGTGAAGACGACAAACTGGAAAAGAATAGGCAGGGTCTCAAGCCGATAACTGTCCGACGGTGAATTCTCCTACTAGGAGTTGAGTATATTAATTCCACCACTAACATCACTTTCACTCTACTAGCCTAAACAAGTTCATTTTAATTTTGGTTAGATTTATTCAATAAATCTTGTTTATGTTGTTATAAAATAGTTGAGTAAATTGTGTACTTAGGTTCAAGTGTCTTTGTGCATATTGGTTTACTTTAGCTGACAACTATTTAAATCACTTGATGGGGGCTTTTAAGTAATGCCAGGAGGGGAGAAAAGTCGGAGGGGTTAACTGAGTACCTTGATATTTTCTCAGTGGGTTTATCTTGATCTCTATCTATCCCTTCTCCTACTCCTGTGGATACAAGTACAGCAACTTTCATTTCATGGAACGAGCCACTCGCTGTTTTCTTGGCTATCCAGGACTTTCTATGATCAACATAGCTTAGATATTAGTCCAGTTTCTCACGTGGGTGGGCATTGTTAAGGTTCAAACCCACACCCTCACTATATCAGTGTATTTACCCACGTGGGCTCGCGACACAAATTAAGAGTTAAAGGTAATCTTCTTCTTTGTGTTCACCAGCTGTAAACTCCGGCGTAAAATTCTGGTTGTTCGTCTACTTCTGGACTGCAGTCCTGCTTCAGAAACTGAATGCTGCATGTGCATCTATTTGACAGATCTGACTCATTTGTGTGCTGACTGTTGGTTTTCATGTCTGTCAGGCAGATGCACTCCAACTTCGAAGGAAGCTCCCAATTAGTCGTCTCTTACGACATGCTTTTGGGTAGGCAGTAGATCTATTCTTGTCTTCCCTATAATAGGGCCCTAGAACCCACAAGGGAATTAAAGCTGATGATCTCAGATAGTGTTAAAGCAATGACCTCAAAACAAAACAAAATAGAGAGTTCAAGTAAGGATCTAAAAAAAATAAAGAATTAAAGTAATAACCTCAGGCAGAAATCGTTAAAGTAAATATTATTTAAGACATGTAATAGATAATTTATGCAACTAATGAACATATAGTGAAAGCTTTTCACAGAATATATACAACCGCCAGCAGTAAAATTTTCTCCTAGGACGATTTTTACAGATGTAGTGCCTGCACTAATAGTTGTTCTGGCTGCATTCTTACTAGATGACCAAATCATGTGATCTTCTGTTTCTCAATGAATTTGTGGCATGGTGTTGTTCCCACAGCCTGTCTGACAATATATAATTTATAACTTTGTTTCGGATGGTTAAGGTGGTGGCTTTTGATAATGTCCAAGTCTGGCACTGGTAGCATAGTTTGGAATGAAAATACTGTTTATAATCTTTTTCTATGCACTTATACTTATGTTTGTATGTCTCAATAAAGGTGTCAATAGGTAAATAAGTGCACTGGTTCAATTCTATCAGCACAATAATGACCCGAAACACACACAGCACACCGAAAGAGCTAACAAAAACAGCTACAGCAGAAAGCAGATGTGAGATATTTGGTACTTGGAATTTTGGCGGGGTAGGAACTAATTCAATTCATTATACACCAGATATTACTTACGAGTGATGACTTTCTCAATTACTGTAACATTTTTGTCTGATTCAGACCTTGAGCTGTCACTGGTATCACTGTTGTATGAAAATTGTAGTATAATTTAAAACAATCTTTTCTTGTTGTAAATTTCAATAAGGTGGACACAAATACATTGCACACATTTCTCCCTCGCATATTTCATGAGGTGCATTACTGTAGCTATATAGTTACATAAACATTTAATGAAGCAATAAAATTAACTCTCCCACTCTGTGTAAACAAAAAGCGTATACAGTAAATTGTAAACTGCTATGTTAATCACATTGCTAATCTTGAATTTCTGGTGCAGTGATGTATAGTGCAACTAGACACTGTGACTTGTGTGATTCAGTGAAAAGGGTGTAAACTCTGAAGTAGTGCATCTAAAGACATACAGTTAAATATGCCAGGAGAAGAAACAAAAGAATAAGGTATATGATGATTATATATGAAGAACAAAATAAAATGTAGTCTTATATTTCTACTGAAATGCAGGGTTTTTCCTGGTATGCAGTTCCGGCACCCCCTTTTTAGGCATAATTTGTGTCAGTGCTTCTGTAATAAACATTTTGTAATAAGTTCCTAGACCTTTTTTTTAAAAACATTGTGTTGAGTACCAGCACTTTCTTCAAGAAGACAAAAAGCTTTGCAGAAATAAAAAGAATAACTGTAGCAGAGGCAGACCAAAAAGGAGGACTCTGGACAACTTGGCATTGTGGTATGGAAGAACATCTGTATCACAAATGAATGACAGTTCATGAGACAGAAGGCTGTGGACAAATATATTACTAACATCACATGACATAGACTAGAAGAAGTAAATAGTAAATGATGGCATTAAAGATAACAGGAACTAAGGGGAAAAAAAGGAATTTGATTTATTTTATCAAAGTCAAAAGGTTTATTAGCTACGTTACCAAAGTGTAAAAGTAACTAGTAAATTTTAATAATAATTTACTTACTTGGCTGTTTCACCTGCCAAAATGATACCTTGTTCTTCAACTTCGCTCTCAGTTGTTGATGAAAAGTTGAATACTAAGGAAAACAAAAATTGTGCATATTTATTAGAAAACCATCATTTCTAATTGTCTGCATCTCCCCATATGAATTCCTGGGCCACTGTCACATACCGTTCGTGTCACGTGCCTGATTAAGGATTTCTCCAAATGAACCAACAGCACTTTGAAATAGTATAAGTGTTGGAATGTCGGCATCCCGCGGCCAATATACACACCCAACCTATTTCAGGGGTGGGGCAACACAAGTTATGGCACTACAGAACACAATATATATTTTCTTAGGCTCAACTTGGCCGGACATCCCCACTACTACAAGAAAATAGCCACCAGACTATGATAGTTTACTATCATAGTCATGTTAACACAGAATATGATCTAATATATTACTACACACACTCCAGACAGCTAAGAACAATGAAGGATGGACACTAACTTCAATATTGAAAAATTCCAAAGACATGTAATAAGCTCAGCATATATATATCATGAATCAAGAAAAAGGAATTTGATCCAAGCACTAAAATTAAGAAAGGGCAGACATATTAAATAGGACTGTCATATGGAATTCCTAGACCAGCAGCCGTTGTCATCATCGTACTCATGTCGACAATGAACATATGAGCACGCCACAGAATTATATGAGATCCACCACCTATCTGTTGTTAATTAAGTTCGGATCACTGCTTTCATGTCTGCTTCATAGTCGTTTTACATGGCTGGTACTCTGTTCTGGTGTGTTACGGGTAAATTACTGAAGTTCAGCTATCTTTCTGGATGACCTATAAGACAGTGTCTATCTATAAACAAGACAAGCACTTTTTCCTTCACTGCTGGATCCACGAATCAGCTCCTTGAGAGGATTCTCTGCCACTTAACTGTCACTGGTATCATTCTTCACTTTCTTGACATAGGAGTGGTGTTGGTGTAGCTCCCATGATAGTGTCTCATGACTTGTTGGTGGTAACGTTAAGGTTGGTGAATATGAGGACTGATCATTCACTGCCGCCTCTCCAAGGATATCACCCCAAGCTCAGGATTCCTCCAGGTAAAAAACTGGTACTTCGTACTAGACAGAATTAGGCACAAAGGCAAAACACTTCTGTTCTACTTGGAACCCCGACTGAGAATGAGGGGAAACTTGGCAGGTATAAATAGACAACATGGACTATATACCCACCGGATGGGTCTATATGTGAATATGTGACCTGCCCGCTAGGGGCGCCAGAGTCACAAATAGTCCAAAGTGTAAGGATGGTTATGGCCATTCCACGACAGCCTCCAACAAGTATGTCTCAAAAAGTGTAATGATTTTTCCTTTCAAGTCAGAGTGCATCTACCAGAAAGGCAAGGAACCAACAATCTGCATTCAAAAAAGCCAGACCTGTAAAATGAATCTGCATGCAAAACTCAACTTCTGAAACAAGACTAAAATCCAGAAATAGATGAACAACAAGAACTTTCCACTGGATTTTACAACTGGTGAACATAAAGAAGAGGAAAATTTGTCTGCGTTTGGCCATCATGGGCTCTACTTCACTTAAGTTTACAGTACGCTACCAACGTTTACTTTCATTTTGATTTGCATAAATATATTTTTGGAGATAAATTTTCACAATTTTGTGTCTTCCTAGAAGAAGCAGCAGAGGTTGACGATCGTGGACAATGGATGTCAAAGACACCCTCAGCATGAAAGTTGAAAGTCAGGAGGGTTCATGTGGCTTCCTAGCATCCCATGAGTGCAATATTCTGTAAAACATGTGCTATAAGATGATGATGATGTGTAGGAGTGTGGGTACACGTATGTATGTATGAGAGTGCGTATGTTTATACAGAAAGAGAGACAGAAGGGAAAAGAGAGTGAGACAGAGAGAATCAGTTAAAAAGAGAGAGAGACACACACACACAAACGAGCACACACACACAGACAGACAGATAGTGACAGACTAGACAGAAATAGAGAAAAAAAACAAAGACTATTAGCCTCTGCAATCAGCAAACAGAAATGAACTCACAGGATTTTGTTTTCCTCTCAGACATTGTTGCAGCCAAAGTAATAGGGTCAGCAGCAGGCATCAATGATTCCTCAGCCTAAGACAGTAACCAAAACAATCATTTTATATTAGTACAGTGCAGACCTGATAAGGAGAATTCATCAGGTACCCAAGAAACAGTTCTTCTTATTATAAATTCCTCTTATCCAAATTAGAGTTCAAGCATGTAGTAATTGCTGAGGATTAACAAATTGTTCTTCAAAACATAAATTCCCCACATCTGAGGTCATTTTGAGTGGTTTGCACTGTTTACCTGAAATCGTTACCAATAACTGCAATACTGTCCCTAGTATGAACTTTATCGTCTGTTGTAACTGGGGACTTCCTTTGAAGTCAGAGTACATCTGCCCGATTGGAAAGAAACAACCAACTTCACACAAATAAGCCAATAAAATGGACGTACACCCAAAACTCAGGCCCTGGCACAAAGCCGAAGCAACTGCTATAAGATGATATACAAACATATACACACACAAACTCCTATACATAGACACACACACACGCGCACCATTATCACCTTTTTACAGATGCTTTGGCTTTGTGCCAGGGACTGCGTTTTACGTGTACATCCATTTTACTGGCTTATTTGTTTGTTGTTTCATTTCCTTCGCTGTTAGTTTGTGTTTACCTGCTGTAAACTCAAGTGGAAAGTCCTGGTTGTTTGTCATCTTCTGAGCTCTGGTCTTGTTCTGGAACTTGAGCTTCGTGTGCACATTTGTTTTACACATTTTTAGTTACTCTGGTTTTCTACCCAACAATGCAACTTTTTTCCTGTGACTAAAAATGTTCAACATCTATGCATGGTGCAGACTTCAGGTTACTTTGTAAGTTTCCGAACCCCTGTATAACTTTACATTTGAAGCAGGCTTACCAGGATTTGTACAGGTAGTATTACCATCCTTGGAGTGTTAATCCCATAGACCGAAATCTTGGGGGCTAAACTACAATAGATCTAATTTGTATGAAGACTGCTGGTTCCTCGCCTCTCAGGCAGATGAACTCTGTCTTCAAAGGAAACACTGTGAATTAGTTGCCTTATACTACATGCTTGTTAGACGAGTGGTGGGCCCATTCTGTCTTCCCCTAAAATGAGGGCCTGGAATACTTTAATGAAGATCTTTAACCAGACTCACCTATTCTATAATACAACTCTTTCTCTCTCTCTCTCTACCTTTTTAGTTAGTCTATTCCCTGACCAAGACACGATTCAGGGTTAAATTCTTAAAGGATGAAGGACTGATAATGGGTACTAGAATTCTAGGAAAGCAAAGGCAGTGGTGATAACACTGAATGTATTATTTGTTGTGTACCATTTTCTCATTACAAATATTCAGTCAAGCAACACATCCCCAGAGAGAGAGGGAGGGAGACAGACAGAGAGAGATAAAGGAAAAGAGAGAGAGAGAGAGAGGGGGTATATGTGTGTCTGTTACAAGTCACTTACACATTAAAAAAGGTGTTTTTAGTGCAGGCAGTAGTTCCAGGATCTTGTGAACTATCATCGCTTAACTGTGAATCTGGTACTATAAATCTTATATTTGAGTCTGGCTCTGTCATCTCTTCGTCATGTTCCATTTGGTCATAATATCACTTCTACAGTCGCATATGTTCACAGCAGTTATATGGCAGCAACCGGATATTCACTTTTTAAACACATCTGGATAGCCATCGCATTTCAAGAACTAATATTCCATACCTTCATTTCTGCAAATAAGATGTACAGTTATTTAGTTACATAAGAAACATATATGCCATGCATGTAATGTATTTGTCTCTCTAAAATACGTGTCTTTCATTAAAACTGTATATTTAGCATTCTCACCAACCTTCTCCCACACGCTGGTGAGTCATTCTGAAAAACAAAAGTAATAACAAATCCTATTTCCGTTTCTGTTGGCTTTCGTCTCAACCATCTTATAGCGAATCTTGTTTGATTTAAACAATTGTAGTGACTGCAGTCAAGCCGATATGACGAACTAACTACACCTAACACAAACTATGACTAGAAGGCTCAACAGAAAGAACGGGAAAAGACATGCATAGGTGCAACCAAATTATCATCATGTAGCAGGTCTTCTGCGAAACGTCACGCTCATTACAGTCTGCCTGAAAGAAACCCAGTCTCTCACCAGCTCTCTCACATCCTGCAATTCCTTCCTAAGGTGTCATATCCTTTGCCCATCTTCGGACTGGTCAGCCCCTACTCCTCTTCCCTGGTGCTATGCCTTCTGCTATTATTTTTTGTCCAAACCAGCTGCGCCGCTTGATATGGCGAAAATATTTAGTTTGTAAGACAAGATGCTGTTTACTAGCCTAATTTCCTTGATGCCCAGATCTTTTAGGATGTCTGTATTTTTTGTTTCATTTAGCTTTCTAGTGACAGATTGTGTTATGTGGCTACCTTTGTAGACTTGTTCAAAACTGGCTGGATTTGGCAGAAAATTGACAAGAATATAAATGATTACATTAGCATAAGATACTATATGAATGGCTTCTGACAAGTGACAACTAACTGGCAGCAATTGTTGTCATTTGTGTAAATGAAGGACTGACAAGATCAATAAGCAACAAGTAAATGGAAGTAGTATCTGTCATTTGTATAAATCAAGGGCATGCTTAATTTAATTTACCCGCATGTAACTTGCATGAAGACATAAATACAGTATCTCTGGATGTCATTTGGTTAGCTCTGATACTTAATCCAGCTTAAATTTTCATAATTATTTCTTAATTTGAGAAAATCCAATATACACTCTAGCTACTTACTTACTTTTAATTATTTTACTAATGTTTAGTTAGTTACTAAGTGTTAGTAATTTAGGGCTCTACTGGCAAATTTGGCCGGTAAGCTGGACTACTTCGGCCGGCTTAGCGGGGCTTAGTGGGAGTTATGTCCCTTCGTGTCCCTTCGCCAAACTCAAATCAAGTCGCGGAAAACGTCACGAATCAAATGACATACTTACCTATCATCATCCGGGTGCGTGTAGGGCTGTGTAGGGTGTCTGTCATCATCATACGGTTGCGTGTAGGGATGCGTAGGGTGTCTATCATCATCATCATACGGTTGCGTAGGGTTTGGGTTAGCGGTAGGGTTAGGGGTGTGGGTTAGGGGGTAGGGGTAGGGTTAGGGTTATATGATGTGAAAATATTCACGTAGGAGGTGGAAATACTGGCCGACAATCTGATGCTTGTGGGAGTGGCGCCACTGGAAGTGTGCCAAATATGACGGCAATAGCGCACGGCGGCTGGTGCCCCAATCGGTGGCGGCGAATTGTCCGTGTCAGTAGCATCCACCGTCTGTCGACTGTTTGCGCGTGCATGCGACTGTGCGCGATTGTAGGGAACTACGGCGTCACAATTGTCACATCTAACGCTACACATAACCCTAAACCTAACCCTAAACGCTAACCCCTAACCCTACCCCTCATCTATCTTACGCAAACAACCAACCCTACACGCAATAAGCAGCCCTACACGCAACCGTAGGACGATGATAGACACCCTACGCAACCCTACACGCACCCGGATGATGATAGGTAAGTATACCGTTTGATTCGTGACTTTTTCCGCGACTTGTTTTGAGTTGTTTTGAGTTTGGCCAAGGGACATAACTCACACTAAGCCCCGCTAAGCCGGCCGAAGCAGTCCAGCTTACCGGCAAAATTTGCCCGTAGAGCCTTATAAAAACAAAACAAAAATAGTAAATGTTTCAAAATAGGAATAAACTGAACAAGTAAACAATGCGTTGCTCCATCAAAACCGTATGTCGCTGTTAGCCTAAACTTTAGGACAGGAGACCTCAGACTTTTAGACTCTAAATTAGAGTTAGATAGTATAAAATTAAGTAATAACTACTAACTACTACTACCTGTATCTAAATATTTAAGGCATTGTGATAGCAAATCAGTTGAGATGTCTGGTTTTAAATATATTAATATATTAGATAAACCGATGCAGAATAACGTTATAGCGTGCTTTTAAATCAACATCAACTTACATTACTTACAAAAGTTTGCTGGTCTGACTTCGCGGATTTACCAGTTTGTTTATGTTTTGGAGTAATGTCCCTTCCGTTGTTTAATAAGTACTGTAAAACTATTATTTCTTAAGCTTTTTTCACCAATGTGGAATTAATGTGGAACTACCTTGTGGTTCAGTGTTTAAAGGCGTTGCAATAGCAAATTAGTTGTAGATGTCTTGGTTTTGTTTTAGATAAACCAATGCAGAAACATTTTATAGCGTGCTTAAATGAACATTAACAGCAACTTTCATCAACTTAAAAAAAGTTTGCTGGCCTGGCTTCGCGGATTTAGTTTATATTTTTGAGTAGTCCGTTGTTTATAAGTACTGTAAAACTACTTTTTCTGAAGCTTTTCACCTATCACGTCTACGTGGTATCCGCGGTGGAGCAGTGACTATACCCCTGCCCTCTAGTTAGAACGTTTTGAGCCTGAATTCATACTGGGGATCACGCCGAAAATTAGTTCCTGGAAATGTCCTAGGAAATAATAAAGGCGACCAGCGTGTTTAACATGGGAGTAAAGCATGGTGAAGCACGTCTTTGACGTCTTCGGGGCCGATATAGGAAACAACATAACCAACTTTTCATAGGAACAATTAGTAGAAGTACTTTGGAGTGGCTGCTGCATCGGAGGACTGAGCACGCATGGGAATTCCCAATGTGCAGTGATGTCGATTGTGATAACATAACATCTCGTAGGGAGTCGGCAGTCCGAAACCCAAGTTCAAGGTGTCTCCTTCGTGCCAAAGAACTGCATGGCTGTTGGGTCAACAGTCGTTAACGAAGGCAATCAGGTCGTTGTAGGAGTGACGCTTGCTGGTGGATAGAATGTCATAAGTCCCTTCCCCAGCTAATAGTGAGGGTACTGCTGGGGTGACCATTTATTAACCCTCATATAATGCTTCAGGTCAAAACTGACGCTAGGCACGGCCACTTTTTTAGCCAAGGAAATTTTTTTTTTTTTGCTTTTGCCAGACGGTGACCGTTGCATTTTTGCTCCA